CTTTTTACTCAAATTAGTATCAAATCAGGGTTAACCTAAACCAAGCTAATAATCCCATTCTTCTTTAGAGATGGAAAGATATCAGCACTAATATTGTTTTGGGCCTTCTTGCAAGCCAAGCGTGACGTGGAGTTAGTCCTAGTGATGTTAGATTGATTCTTTAAAAGGCACACTCCAAATCATGTAGGAAGATTTTGATAAAGTTGCTCCATTTTTTTAAGAAATAATTGTCCGGCTACAAGATCCATCTCATAGCCTGAATACCAATAAAAAAATTTAAATTTATCAGCTTTCTTTTTCGAAAATAGAGGAAAAACCTTCAAATCAAACTTTGCTTGAGTTAACATATCACCCTCAAACAAAATAGGTAATCCATAGTAGTTAATCAAATACAAAGAAACAAGATTGATTGCATTGAAAGCAGGAGGATGTAGTATTTTCACAAGAAGAATTTGCTTAAAATTTTATGATTAATAAATCTACCAGACAAAATTCTTGCAACCATACCAAACTACCCAAACAAAACATGGAACTTGCAGTCATACCTAAACCCCAAAAGAACACTAATTGAAAAAATGGTTACAAATTTTCATACTACACTTCAAGCATTTAAAGAAAAAGTTGACTTCAATTGCCTCATAGTATAAAGCAACAAGCTAGTCTTCAACAAAGGCATAACATTTGTAATATTGGCAATTTGGTTATGATCCACCTTTGCAACAAGCACTTCCCCATCATCACCTAGTCCAAATTAAGCCTTCAAAGCCTGGACCAATCCCCATGGAAAAATGCATAAATGATAATGATTATTCGATTCTCATCCATAAAATTTAGTCATATCTACCTTCAAGCTTGGCTCTTTCCCATATCTAATACCAATATAGCGTAGAAGTTGCACACATTAAGGTAAAGACGTCGATGGGTAGGTGATTTCTCTTTAGCAGATGCTGCACATGAATTCCCTCCAGCTAGAAAATGGTTGACCTTGAAACCTCTAGCATCAACGACTGAGGGCAACTTCAGCCCTTAGTTCTAGAAGTTCTCTTCCAAGGCCACTAAATGCCTCGTTTGCTGCATCTGGGCAGCTATACAAAGCACACATCCTTTCCAAGACCTCCACATATCCCACCTATATGAGGGAGAGGTAACTCCAAAACTAGCCTATCACCACCAACAGCTGATTTCATTGTGCAATGAGAGAAAAGCTTAGTCAACCCATCTCGACCAACGCCTACTCGACCCTCATTGAAAATATGTCCTCCTAAGATGACTCTGACACCCTCACTGTAACAATGAGTGGAGAAAGTAACCTAATGTCCCCCAAAAAGCTAACATCCCCGGCTTCTCTGGTTTCCACCTCTAGAGAACTTCCCTTCTCACCCCTAGAAAAAGAAGCATCAATCTACCATGCCAAATCAAAAGCACAAAACTCCGCCTCATATTCCGACAACAGCCACAAGGACAACTTCAATTTGACACTGGGCGTCACATTTCACATTTCAAATGATATTTTAAAAATTACAATAGTAAAATGAACCAAGTTAAAAAATATACTAACACAAAAAGAAAAACGATTTACCTTTTATCACAATTTTATCAATATTCAGCTACTATGCTACTGGGACAAATTCTATCTCTAAAATAATCATAGTCATTAGAGACACCCAGAAACAACAAACACGACATCAAAAAAATTATTTAAAAAATTATAAAATAAATATTCCTTATCGACACTGTAAGTCCCTCCATGACTTGTTCCGAAGTGACTACCACTAGAAGAGACTCACCGACAATAGCCATAGCAATGGTATAGACTCCATAACTGGGGTGAATATCCCACTCTTTATACTCAGCTCAGTCAGTTCCATTTTATTCCCTTTCTTCTCTCAAAGATTTCATAATCATTCCTCTTCCTAATGTCAACGAACCTGACATCCTTGAAGACATCAAAATTTCCCACCAAAACCTACAATTCTCACATGTCACAAAGCTCAAAAAGTGGTAAATGAACAAGAAAGAAATGAGATTTCATTAACTTCTCACCCCAAAACCAAACCGGCCATTTATATAAGTTGAACCATGCCAATATAAAGAAAAAGATATAAATAGTCAAATCTATGAATAAAATTTCATACTTACAGTTCATAAATTACACCAACCACCTTACATGCACATGAGATGCTAAATGTTACACCAACCAACTTCTTAAAGAAAAATTAACCAATGTACTCAACACTAGAAAACACGGAGATTGTCCAAAAAAAAAACTAAAAATTGATTACACTTACATGTGCAAAGTCACATTCTATCATTCTCATCGTCTATCTGCAATTGATTTTCAAAGATAAAGTAGAACTAGAAAACTAAATGTACACCCAATGAGCGAACTCACCCAAATGAAGAAAAAAAGAGATGCACTCGCCAACAATGGCCAAGAACAAGCTCCCCGAATCGGGCTTAGGAAGAATTCATCAGTCGGATCCAAAGATGAGGAAGCTCGCCATTACAGCTCAAATTGGACTCGCCAGCCAAGTCCAAAGAGGACTTACTCTGCAAGTTTAACTCATATATCCACCAAGATCAAGACGAACTCATCAGATGACTATGAGTGAAAATCTACCAAGCTCAAGATGAATTCACCAAAGCCACACAAGAATTCATCGGAACGACTCAACTCAATTAGTCGCACAAGCACAAAAAAGCTACTCAGCGACCGCAACCTAAAGAGCCGATGACTTCTCCAATTTTGACATTCAACTACTATTCCAAGTCTGTAACTGTACTGAGGCAACATACCTTTTTTTTCACCTCTAATATATAGCTCATTCTACAATTATTTTGATAGCACTAAGGACCTAAAACCCTGCCTATAAGAAAGGGATCTCAAGAAGAGCTAAAGGATTGACTTTTCTAATCTAGCCTAGCTGCAATATGCAAAGCTTGAAACTTGCAAGTGATTTCTCTCCACCTTTCTCTCGGGAAGAGATAAAGGATGGACTTTTCCAATCTGGCCTCTCAAGTGTCTTGTACATTGTAGCCTGAACTTGCAAGTGATTTTTGTCCTCTTTTCCTCAATTTTTCTCTCCACATTTCTCTTTTCTCTCTTAATTTCTTTCAAGTTTACATGGTTCTAAAATAATCCAAGGACAAAAGAGAATCCAACATAAACCAGCAAAAAGAAGAAAAGACAGAAAATTTAGGAAATTCCCCTTTTAATTTGTTATAATTCCTCCAAGAGAACTATCTCAAAGGCTACCTCCACAACCATTAAATTATAACACAACCAAGAAACCATGATATCTAGAGGACAAAACAATTAAACATAACCACACACACGTTAAAAGTAAATAGTCATATTTACATAGGAATAACCTGCAAAGCAAAGAAGATGCAAGCCAATAAGAAGGCAACAAAGTGGGGAATTTGGTGATCTGCACTTTTAGTACATTTCAATTTTCCAAACTATGTAAGAAAATAGAGCTTATTGAAACATATGATCAAGCTTGAAAGGAAAATTTGAGCTAAAATATAATTGAGAAGTTCTCTATTTATAATTAGTGGACTATATTTATTTATTCATTCATCTGAACATTGTATCATACACCGCTACTATAAATAAAAAGAACCCCCCGAGATTAAATAACTGAATTTACTTTTTCATCAACAGAAACAATTGCAGTGTGTAAATAACCCCCACTGTGATTCCCCAACAAAAGTAAAACCAGACTACACTAGAAAGGAACAGCAGAAATTTCTTTAAAAAAATTAGTAACTTAATATACCCACCCAAAGCCTGTCAAATAGAAACAGAATAGTGAAAAGAGTAGGGTTCTCAAAGCAAATAGATTCACCGCCCAAAATGATATAAGACAATAAATTACTGTCTCTAACAAAATGAATAATGCAAATTTTGTTTTAAAATAGATATCACAAAACATTGAAAGTTGGAAATGGGAGTGACCACTAGGTTTTTTCAGTTATAATAATAACTAAGATGGCAATGGGAAAGGAAAGAAATCAAATAAATTAAATGTAAAGATATTGATTTACATGGGAAAGCCATGAGTCATCATCACTAGAGAGTAGTGAAGAGCACTAAAATATTCCACATATAGCATTTAAGCCAATGATTGAAGTAGTCACGAATAAAAAAAATTTTTGAAGTGACAGACATGCTGGGACAATTTATTTTAAAATATATACATATAAACCAATCCTAGCAAATAAAACAATGAAGCAAAGCTGTCTATTTCTTTCTCCTAAAGAGTAAATAGAAATATAAAATGGATGAATGAAGCGAAAACAAAATATTTTTATCAGCATTGCTGCAAACACAGTATCATGGACAATCGAATGGTTTCTACTCATTAAATTGAACAAGATTAATGGCGGCTAAAATTGGGTAAATTATTACATGCGGAAATCTGCACTTCTACGGCATGGATGAGCCAGAGAAAAAGTAAATAAATAAATAACAGCCATCCTGTAATCCACGCCATTAAACGTAGGTATGTTAACCATACCTAATATTTGCTCCTAAAAATGGCTCAGGTAGAAAACTATCCAAAATTATGCACAAAAAAAAGTGTTTTCATTGCTGAAAATAAAAAAGGAGTCCAATTTGATAGCAAATCATGTAAGAATACCAATGAATCAGTGCCAATATTTAACAACGTATTCCACAAAACAACATGCCAAGCACAGATAAAAAAAATATAATAAAGCAAGTGATGAGACCGAATCCGAAAGCCATACAATTCCTATTCAGCATTTCTTTGCGGATTAAAAATCAGGAAAAGAAAAGATTTAAATGATTTAACAAGTTAAATTCCCTTAACGACTGCAATTTTATATGCATGTAAAAGCTAATAACCCTTAACGACTCCAATTTTATATGCATGCAAAAGTTAATAAATATCCTATCTTCCTACTGTTACGGAAAACTACATAAAATCCAGCACAACAGAGCCAAGGAAATGTAAGAATAAAAAAGCTTAAACCTGTTTATTTTGTGCAATTGGAAGTGGTGCGAGTTTAGGCTGTACGGAATGCATCATTGGTGCCTCAGCCCTACCGGAAGAAGAAAAGCCGCTTCCTCCTCTTTCATGATGGTCTTCTTCAAAACCATTTTTTGAACCCATAGGAGGCTGAGGAACCGGTTGGCCCGATTGATTAGGAAACATGGAGTTTCCGGTTTGCATTTGATGATGGCTAGACTCCAAAGTTACCTGATGTGATTGGCTCATGCCAGCTTGTTTGTGGTTAATAAGGGCTGGGCCGCCAAGCTGAGGTTGCAGCTGTGGTTGGAAAACATTAGCTCCAGATTGCCGTATCTGGGCATGTACAGGTAAGCCTGGTGATTGACAATTAGCTGGTTGCTCGAACTTCGATGGAGAGAGACCTGCCACCTTTGTCTCTTGGTGACCGGGATCCCCCACTCCTGGAAATCCAATTTGTTGCGACTGCTGCTTTGAAGGTTGCTGCCCTTGTAGAAGTGTCTCCTGTTGTCTAAAGAATTGTGAAGCATGCGACTGCATTCCCTGCTTTTGTGCAGTATGTTGACTATGTGAGTTCTGTCCCTGTTCATGAGTGTTTGGTGAAACTGACAATGGTTGGCTCTGCTGCAGTGAAGCCTGGGGCCCTTGAAGCTGTTGCCCCAGTTGATAACCAGATTGAGACTCCAGAGGTTGCTGCCCAGTTGAATCTTGGGGAAATTTTGGTCCTGGTAACTGCTGGCCTTGCTGGAATGGAAACTGAAAAGCTGGTGGCTGTTGCCCGGGATGATATGGAAATTGGCCTTGGGGTCGTGGCATGATTTGACTTTGCATGTATGGAATTTGCTGATATGAGGATTGCTGAAACTGTGAGTAATGTGGGGAAGCCTGCTGTAGAGCCTGCATGGGTTGTTGATTTTGCATTGGTTGCTGCTGATACGGTGGTTGCTGAAATTGCTGGTGCGGCATCTGCTGAGCAGATTGTTGAATTTGTACCTGAGGCTGACTCTGCTGCTGATATTGATATGGCTGCGAAAAATTTTGCTGCCCTGAATGTTGTTGAGGAAAAGACCCATTTGATGGTATAGTTTGGGCAGATTGGCTCTGAGCAGCATTCAGCTGTGGCACTGAAGAAGGAAGAGCTGGAAGCAGTGGAGGTGTTGAACCAACTGGCTTCTCATATTGGGTAACATTTGTTTCAGGATTCCAATAATATAAAACGCCAGTACTTCCATCAATGAGTCCCCTCCAAGGCTTTGGGAGAGTTGGGTCTTCTGGGGCGAAACTAGGACCTGCTGATGCCTGAGTAGCTTCAACAGCAGCCATAACAAGCTCACCGTTGTAGTGCAGGATCAGTGGTCCTGAAGACAACTACACTAATAAGTCAAGCCCATTCCAGCGTTAGCTCTACACTAGGTCAAGCAAATAATATAATATCATTAATATCAAAGAGCCAGTAATAAATTAATCTAAATTGCTTTATTATTGTTTTTATAATGGTTAATGATATATCTTTATCTTTATAACCAAAAAAAATCCACCCCAAACCATCATGTCAGAAGAATTACTAAACTCGAGAAGAACATAAACATAAAGAATATAGGGTCTCAAATCCTGCCTAAGTAAATCATTTGCAAAATCACACAACCACACAAAACTTAGGAACAGAGTACTGGACAAAAATATGAGAAAGAATGTAAGGTTAATTACTTAGAATACTAACGGAGATTTAGGAATGAAAGCAGAAGCAGCAGCTGTGCTCCTAAGAATGCACATTAAAGCAAAGTAAATAAAACAAACTTTTTGTGTTCATATCTTATGCTAAACATGTTTTTTTTTTCCTCTTTTGATAGTGCAAATCTATATAACCTGCAACTAATTTTGTGCATAATTTTTGGTTGATCCTTCCTTTGAATTCCATCATAGTGTGACCATCGGTTGGAAGATGGATAGACACTTCTTCAATTTTGGTTCTCCAGCTGATTTATCTTAAATATAGAATTGAGTTCAGAGTAATCATAAAAGTTGAATATAAAATTCATGATAGGCAAGTTAATTGAGCCGTGTCTTTCTTGACTTCATTATGACCGAAAAATCATTGATAATCTTAAATATTCTTACCAAGCAACCATCAAACCATATCGACTGTATGATTCTGTTAACTACCTTCATGAGTACAACAACAACAACCCCACTAAGTTGGGTCGGCTACATGAATCCTTTTTTCTCAATTACGTCCTATTGAGTGTCCTTGATCCTATTAACTACTACGTGAAGTTTGTTTAACCTAAATTTGCTTATTCAACGCGTCCACATGTAGCATTCTTTGCCACAAGTTTAAAATAAATTTCTCAAACCAAACCAAATCAAAAAAACTAAAAACCATTTAAGATCAAATCAAATCAAGTTGAAAAACCAATTCCAAAGAACCAATTTTCTTATACTGAAAACCAAACCAAAACTGAATTGTTGCTTTCATTTGGTTTTAGTTCTCTGCAGCTGATCAGCCCGCGGTACTGTAGTTGTTACAGTGCCACAGACGTGGTTTTGTATATGTTATAGTACCGTGGGCCAACTCTTCACCCTGTTCTCCACTACTATTCCATCCCCTAAATTATTTCTATCCCAATTTAAAATTTCTTGCTATTTCTTTGTGCTAAAATCCTTTATAATATGTTGTATTTGCCTAGGGTGGAGAGGTTTTTGATGATTGTTGATTTCAATTGCCGCTTTTGAGACGTTTTTCCTCTCTGGCGACTGTAGTCAAAAACAAGAAAGTGCTATGGCTGTAACTTGTATGAGGTGATGACCATCTCCAAGGGTCCGTGTGTTACTCAAGTCGTAGCTCGATCCCGGCGAGACATCTATCCTTCTACAACCCCCTCCGACCCGACAATACCATCTTTTCTGTTGTCTTTCAGGCCTCCAGCCCCCTTCCAGTAGTTGCAAGCCACCTCCCAACAGTTACAAGCCATCTTCCCACTGGCGTACAAGACTTTAGGCTCTTTCCTGTTGTCGCAAAGCCCTTCAAGATAAGTTTTTGTTGTCATTGACTCCTCCAGGGTTCGTTCCGGCTGCTACCCAGCCCACCGACACCTCTTCCAGCAGTAGTTCAATTCACCCTTACCTCGTCCAGCCCTTGGACACCGGTTTCTGCTGTCGTCCAGTCCACCACCACCTACCTGCTGCTATCCAGGGTCACCTCAATGCCTCTCCAATCCCCATCCAACCACCAAATAGGCCTCTCGCCCTTCCCTTTTGCCGACCAAACCTTCACCCCTCTTCTGGTCATTGTCCACCATTATCAGTGTCGCCGCCGCTTGCTGACAGTAATCTTTTAGCAATATCGCCGCTCCCTTCCAGTCCTGCCAAAACTGTTGCTCTCCCCTAATAACAATCGTTTGTATTTTATTTTACTTCCTTTCTTATTTTCCACAGCTTCGTCGTTGTCATTTCTGTTTACATTTTCATATTGTTAATATTGAGAAGTCGCCGTTGTAACTTATTTGAATTTCAGCAATAATATTTTTATTTTCATTATAGTTTGGGTTAACTCCGATATAATTTGGTGTCAGAGCTAGCACAATCATAGTCTTATCTTAGGATTCCCTAACATTTCTGCCTACCCATGCAACCCCACCAAAATTTTTCTACCCTAAAAACTTCGATGAATAAGGTCGAAACTCCCACAACCTAAAAGATTGATGTGGGAGTTGTCTGGACTGCAATACCGTTGTTGCTACAGTGTAATGGGCGCGATACTGTGACAGCTACAATACCACGGGCCAGCCCTTCCCTCCCCCTCCTTTCCTATTTATATCCCAGTTTCAAACTCTTTCTTATTCATTTGTGCTAAGGTCATTTAGATTATGTTGTATTTATGTAGGGTGGGCAGGTTTTTGATGATTACCGATTTCAGCCGATGTTTTTGAGGAGTTTTTCCCTTCGTATGTTGTACTCGACGACAATAAGGTGCTCTGGTTGTAACTCGTCTAAGGTAATGACAGTCTCCAAGGGTCCGGGTGGTACTCTAGCTATAGCTCGACCCTAGCAAGTCATTTATCCCTCTATAGCACCCTCTGGCCCCGCTTCCAGCAGCTTTAGACCATTTTATTTGTTGTCATCCAGGCTTCCAGCCCAGTTCCATCAGCCGCAACCAACATTCCAACCATCTTCTCGCTGTCATGCAAGCCTCCAAGCTCTTTTCTGTTGTCGCCAAGTCATTCTGTCCGTTCCCGCTGCTATTCATCCCACGTCATCTGTCCCTGCAACTATCCAATCCACCCTCACCTCGTCCAAATGTTGTCTAGCCTCTGGAAACCTGTTTATGTTGTCGTCTAGCCCACCATTAGATGTCTGCTGCTATCCAGGGTCATCACAACCCCTCTCCAGTCCCCTTCCAGCCACCACACATACCTCTCGGCCCTTCCCTATTGTCGGTCAGACCTCAAACCCACTTCATGTCGATGTCTACCATTTCTAGCACCACCGCCACTTGTTGGTCGTCATTTTCCTGCGCTATCTGTGCTCCATTTTGGTCTTGTCAAAACTGTCGCTCTACCCTAGAGATAGTCGTTTATGATCGTGTTGCTTCCTTTCTCATTTTTTTGATCGTCATTGTCATTTCCGCTTGCATATTTGTATTATTTATGTTAAGAAGTCGTCGTTGTAAACTTCTTAAATTTCAGCAATAATATTTGTATTTCTATTGTGGCTTAGATTAACTCCGATATCAGATTTTGTAAAAAAAATTGTTAGACCTAAATTTAAATTGACCAAGTCTAGAAACCTCTATCCCACTTTGAAGACGAGATTATATATGGACCTACACTTGAATTAGATTTTGAATATATCACTAATTTTAATAGTGAACATGCCATATGAAGATAATGCAACACTTGATAAGGTATCTGTCAAAACTATTTCTACAACCACGAATCATACCAATATTAATTTTATTTCCTTTAATTATTTATTGACTTACACATTCATAAAGTAACTTATTGAGATAATAAAATTCTCGTAACATGCCAAGAAATTTATTCATGATAGTTTTTTTTCAAAAAACAATGTGATTTAAAAAAATGTCTCTTTGGTTGAATCTAAAACTAAAATCATTAATTTTATCATGATTAATATTTAAACCTAAGGTTATTTTTTTCTTTATAGAAGTTATTCATCGATATTAATAGCACTTCATGTTTGCACAATTCAATGTGGGAGAAATGTTTGTTGAGCATAATGAATATCAATTTTTAACTTTATTCATCGCCACCCCGTTCTAGAATTATTTTAGAAATTAGTAATAGTGAATGTATCGGGAAACAAGCAAATATTTTAATGTTTTCATCATATTGTCTTATTGAATTATCCATTTGTTTAATGCATGATCTACAAGGAAATATTCACAAAAATGTTGAATTATGTGAATTATAAGTCTACTAAAAATGTGAATTGAGGAAATAAAGAATTCAAATCATATGATAAAGTAAGAATGTGTCACAGCCCGGAAAAGCTTTCCTACAAAATCCATATAAATTAACAACGAGAAAAAAAAAAAAGACCATATAAAGACATGCAAGAATTTAGAACAAATGCTTAACAACTTCAAATCCCCAAAATCATGGTATTATTCCAATTTTTCAGGTATCCATCTTGACATTATATCATGAAGTAGCAACCAATGCCTTGAATTCTTCTCTTATTTGTTCTTCTTTTTAGAAACTCACATTCAAGACATCGCCAACACACATTTCAAATAATCATGCTAATCTTGTGAGGATTATTGAAAATAAAATCATATCCACTAATTGACATCACAGATACATACTTTATTTAATCATTTATGGATATTTATGTATAAAATCCAAGGTTTATGCTTAGATATATGTACAAAATGTCAACTAAATAATTCATTGCAGATAATATTGTTAATCAAAGTTTCTCCTGGTTCTCCATTTAAAATAGTAATAGAGTGGTTCCTTTCTATTGTTTGATTCTTTCTTATTCTATTTAGCCTATGATTTTCTATCTAATAGGAACGAGTCCTTTTAATGAGAAACCTTACTAAATCTATAACAAATTTTCAACGATAAAAATGGGACCGTCAATGTTGTTTAGCGCTTAGGATAGAAAAATCTATAATATCTCATCCACCGCCGAATGTGCCCAAGCGAGCGCTTTGTAAAAAGATGTCAAATATAAAGGCGAGTTGTATAAAGACAAATTAATATAGTATACGAAAAGAATATCAACATCACAATAAACAAGTATATACCCTTGAAAATAAGATGATAAAAAATATGCCCAAGAATGGTAAGTCTAGAAGCAATAGAACTTGACAATAAAGAGTGCAACTCCAAAAAATTAAAAAGAAAACAGAGAATTGATTGAGATTTATATATCAAAAGATAAAAAAGGATGTTATTGATAATAAACATATAAAAATAGCAAAGAAGATTAGATTAAAGCTAATATAAACAAGCTACTAAAATTAAGAATTTTAATTGCACTCATTCAAATAACATACTTAGTAAAATTTCAAAGTTTAAATGCAATGAGCAATAAAATTTATGATTTTGCCCAGCATAATATAATATGACGACAATAATTTCATAGTCTTTAATCGAATACCTCATGATTAAATAAATTAATAAGCAAAAACTACTTTCCAGACCCCTCGCCACTCTCTTCCACTTCCTTAAGCAAGCGCTTATAATATAATGTGATGAGTATCACTTGCTAATCTTTAAGGGTATGTCTCATAATTAGATAATTTAAAAGGTCTCATAATTAGATAATTTAATAAATGACAGCTATTTTTTCAATCCTACACGTCGCGCGAGTGAACGCTTATACTATAAAGGCAACCATATCACTTTTATGGTATGCCTTGCGTTTTTCATATCATTGGGGTCTTCTATTGCAGATTTCCAAGATTTTTGTTGTTTAGTATCAGGAGTCAAGAATTTTTTAGGTTGCATCCTCAACATAAGTGAAAATCCAATTGATTTGTTTATAGAAATGAGCATTTGGCTTTTAGCAAAGACATTCTATTTTGATTACAATAAAAACTCTGTGTTAATGTGTTATCCCCTCAATGCTTAAAGATCTTTTAGAGAGATTATTTCCTTCTAAAAGCAAAAAGGCTTGACTAGGTATTTTTTCCTTAATTTATTTGATTTCTCTAAAACTTGGTATTGATTTGAATAAATGAATGGTTTTATTTAATTTCGATACAACTCAGATTTTTCATGCATGATTTTAATTTATTTACAATGCCTTTATTATGGTTCTTAAACTCTATGCATTGTTTATAGTAGAAAAATGTTAAATTGTCATCTAAATTTTTTTTTTCATTTTTCTTTTCATAATATTAATGAATACTTGCTAAAATTAAGAGTAAGAACTTTAAATTTTTACATGCTATATGATTTTGTACATCTCATAATAAATAGCACCAGAAACACTCTATCCTAAAACTAGCTTCCTAAAATAATTGAAATGTGGAAACGATGGCTAAAATAGCTAATAAAACTAGCTCATTTAGTGAGTGCTAAAATAATTGAATCAAGCAACTAGGAAGAATTGTAGGTCTCATCAAACAGATGTTGTTGACCTCTAACAGGTGCACCAATAGGTTGGCCACGAGGTGAGCATTGTGGTAATAGACAAATATGCCCTGATTTTTTTACTATCATTGAACTTAATATTACATTATATAAAGACTTGTTTGTTCCCTATAATACAATAATGTGATTTACTTGCAATATAGATGCATTGTTGGGTTGGTTCCAAAAAGTATAAAGAAAGTTATATCTCATTTAAAATGACCAATAATTTTTACTCTTTCTAGCCATGACATGCATCATATGGTCATAATTCAAGGTTGTTGACCAGCCTATTTAAGTAGCCTGATCCCATAACTTTTCTCTCAACACTTTCCAAATTTCCTACATAGCATAGTTTGTGATTTGAGGTACACGTAGTTAGTCAAAAGCAAAAAAGGCAGCTATTTTCCCTCTAATGTCATTGAATTTGTTATTTATATTTCTCTAGCATGTCGTGCTTCAATTTTTCCTTGAATAACTTACAAACATGCCTCTATTTTACATGTATTGGTCGTTATTTATCTTTTCTAACTAGGTTCCAAAAAGGTAATTTATATAAGGTGACTAATTAAATAGCAAAGGTCACTGCTTATTGCATCCTTATTATCAAGAGATTTGTTTATATGGTTGGTCAATGATGTCTAGCTTTAATAAGCAAAAAATTCATACTCGTTTACAATAACTCATCTAATTTGTTTTTGCAGCATAACATCACATACTTTGCTTTCAATGCCAGTGAGCAAGGAAAGCATTCATATTGATGGCATCACAAAACTGTGCTCAAAGTTATTATTTTAACCAAGTTAACCCGATATAGGATAGTAATGTCAACGCAGTCACTTTTTGAACCATGGGAAAGAACCTTCACTTATAATAAAAACAAGGTGAGAATGATTTGGGGAAAGGTGAATAATTTGGGTTGTAGGCGAATAGTACCACAAAAAATATTGTCCTAGCTACCCTTGAACAACAATGGAAAGCAAAAGGTAAAATTCTAATGAATAAGGGGTCGCAATTGAGATGATGGAAATGATAAGGTGCTTGTTAAACTATTATAGAGCAACATAGGGTATAAAGTGTTTGATAAACTTCCCATACAATATACTTATGACAAAATAATCAAGCATTTAAATAAGCAAATAAATCTTGAGTACAAGATCAAAGAATTGAAGACGTGGTTTTAAATTATAAGCAACTCTTCAAAAATATTTATAGGCTATCAAGCAGTGGTTGGGACACCAAATAGCATATGTCATCTTGTTTTCATGACCATATTTGTCTAACATACATCTTGTTTATTTGACAATTCACTCCAAAGCTTGTATTTAGTTCATTAATCAAAAAGTATATTTTTGTATTTCATGATAATAATTTGGGTTATATATCATAGTTGTTTCCAAATATTCTTGCATAACAAATGTTTATAAGACTGTCACTTACATTGATTTCTTTGCTCAGAATTTGCTATGCCGTGAGGTATTAGCATTCAGTTGCATGTGGACTACAAAGTACAACCCAAAAGCTACCAAAATTAGGCTGGTTTGGGAAGACAAGAGGAAACTTTTACCAGGAAATATAATAATAGGTCAGAGTTGAATTTCCATTTTAGCCAAAATTTAATGAATGGTAAAATATTCAACTACTCTTCCTAAAGTTGACTAGTCCTTGTCGTAAACTTCACTAGCCGTTATCACAATTATTTTGGTCAGCTATATGAATCCTCATTCTTCATCTATTCATGCTGATTTCTGATAGGATGTTGACCTAAGAAAGTAGTTCAAAACCAGAGCTCATTAATGGCTCTAAGTTTCTATAGTAAAACTAAGCTCATTAGCCTTTCCATATCTCGCAAAAGCAGTTCAAAACTGAAATTAATTAATGACAATAAGTTCCATATACTCCCTAAACAATTTTTACAGAAAAAAAGACAAATTTAGACCAAAGAAACAGAAATAAGAAACAATTCATAACCATATAAAACTACAATTCAGTTTCCTGAGTTCAGATTGAACAATACAGCTGGATTAAATATAATTAGCGAAGAAAGAATAAGCATCTTCAATGCTTCACCAAATTCAAAACACAGCAATGAAACCACTCGACGCTTTAAGTTCGACTACAAGTTGGCTTAAAGAAGTAATAAACTGGAATTACGGAAGCAGCACAGAGTCGGGCAAAAAACACAAACAGCTCCGCTTCTGAATTCCCAACTTCCAAACCAAACAAAGAAACTTCACATAAAAGACAGATTAAACCCTAAAGATGTAACACGAGAACAAACTACCACCATTTTAAACCCTAGAGGCCGGAATGGAACTAATACGTAACACTACCAAAGGATCCAAGAAGCGGAAAGAAGCAGCACTCACCTATTCCAAAAGAACTGGAGAGTATAAGAATTAGGGCGAGATGGGAAGCAAAATTGAAACAAAACCCTTCTTCCCTATCTTCCTTGTTCACGCGGAATGATTCATTGGAGAAACCCTAGGCTCAGCTCTTCCCACCGTGGCTGGAGAGAGCAACAGGAGAACGCTGGCACGTGCGGCGCGTGTTACGGGGAGTCTTTACTCCGCCTCCTACGAGCCAGAGAGCAACCGTCGACTGCAAGGAAGCAATTTATATACACAAATTAAAGTCGCCCGGCCTCCTTGGACCATCGAAAATATGGGAAATTTTCACTTAGCATGATTATTTATTCCTAAAAACAATTTGAGGGATTGATATAACATTTTATAGTAATAATATAAAAATAAAAACATGTATTTCACATAAGAAATAAATATTAGTGCTAGATTTGATGTGATTGTAAAAATTTTGATGAAATAAATAAATATTTGGCACTCAATGTCAAGCCCATAAAACAAAAATTGAAAGTTGTAGTGACCATCTTGGTTGAACCTATTCGAGGCTAGTGAAGCTCAGCTCTGCAAATAGATTCTTTGGCACTAAGTGTTCATTATGCCTCTCCTGAGCTTTAGAGTTAATGAACTTCTTCTTGTCAAATGAAGCTTTACCTTTGCTGGCATATGTTTTGAGGGCCATGGAAAATAAGAACAATGATAGCTAAGGCAAAAAATGAGCTTACAAATGATAGGAATGCAATCAATATGCTAGTTAAGAGGTGAATCAGCTCTCCCCTCTCTCTCTTCCTCTTCTTCGCAGTTTCCCCAAAATCTTATCAAATTCCCGGATGAAAAAGAAAATGCGAGCTTAAAGTGATGAAGTTTATCTCATGAAGATTATTTTCACCCTTCAAACCCTCGAGATCGAGCTCAAAACAAGGAGAAAGGAATTCCTAAGGATCGCCCCTACATCGCCAGTGAGGAGTTGGGGAAGAAAGTCACGTGAAAAAGACCTAACCTAGGCGGTTTAAGTTGCTTAAATCGAATCGAGAACCTGGTGCCTAGGTGCCGCAAACTGGGTGCCAAGGTGCTATGGGGCAGCGCCTAGGCGTCGATTTTCGATTTTGGCATTTTGAAGCCAGGGGTCCCCAAGCCTTAGTGAACAATCTGATTTTTGTTTTGATCATTTAAAATGAATATTTTAGTTCTCCTCGCAGGTCCTATATCACTATTGTAACACATACACAAACACCATAGATAAATGAGGCCAATTCATCCTCCTACTCATCATATATCTCTATGTTACTTCCAATTTCTAACAGAAGCATTGCATTGATATATTGGATGTCTTCCACTAATTTGGTAGGGTTAATTCATTGATAAGTTTATCCCTGTCATATTGGCTCGTGTTTTGGCAATCTCAGGCATTACCTCATCCCTTAATGTATGCACCTCTAGCTGAAAATAGAAAATATAAGTTCATCCTCATGTTACTTATCAAGTACGTTCATGACCCTAAATAAAAACAAGGCCAGATAAAAGAAGTAACAGAATTGAGATTGGTCTTTCCAATGTCCAAACTCAACATGCCTCCAGTAATACCCAAGTTTAGTTGATAACTGAGCCGTAGTGGACTTGTCAATCCAATTACTATAAAAGAGCATATACAAATTTAGTCATGATGAGAATTTAAGGAATCACCTCCCTCATGATACACTAACATCAAAACAATTTGCTCACACACATAAAAATCCACAATAAATACCAATCATATCACTTCACAATGAACATGAACTCAACACACAAACTCACAAACAAACTTAAACACAGCACACTAACACGGATAATTATGGAGTGTCTCGCATGAAGCACTTGGTTTAACATCATCAGCCCTAAAAATCCAAATGTTATTCATGTTTTACTTGCTCACTTCTCTTCTCTTTAGGATTCACTTCAGTGCTACTAAGAAGAACCACTTGAGGACGACTGTTAAGTGTAGTAGCAATCTTTCCTAAAAGGTTTTCTATATTCTTAATTGCAGTACCTTGGCTATGAAGCTGACTTGCCATTTGAAGAACAACCTCTTTTAGCAATAACTTCTTTTCCTTGAACTGTGGGCTACAGTTAAATCCAGGAACATAAGAAGGTCTAAAATTAGAAGTACTCTGGTTATTCCAATTACTTATATGAGTAACTTTATTATTTCCCCATGATTTGTTTCCTTCTCCATAATTATTATTTCAGTTAAATTTTGGATGATTTTTCCAACCTGAGTTGTAATAATTGGAATATGGGTTATTTGAACGATTGTTTGTCGTGTGGACAATTTCAAAGGTGTTAGTGCCAATCAATTGACCAAATGAGTTTTCCTCAAGGACTGGGGTCCTTGAGATTTGCTCATTCTGTATTAACCTAACTTTCTCGCAATAGGTGCTTCTTGAGAAGTTAAGATTGTAAGTACATTAGTTTCATGAATATTCGCTACTTTCTTTAGATTTACACTATCGAATGGTCATTGAAAGTTATGTGTGGCCATCTCCTCAATGAGAGAACATGCCTCTTCGAATGGTTTCAACAAGAGAGAACCTCTAGCAACAGCGTCAATAATTACTCTTAATGATCCAAGTAATCTATTATAGAATGTTTGAATAATAAGCCAATTAGGTAATGTGTGATGTGGATACTTTCTAAGTAGTTCCTTAATTCGTTCTCTAGCCTCATAAATTGAATCACCATCATGTTGACAGAATGAAGTGATATTATTTCACAACATAATGATTTTAGATGGTGGAAAACGCTTGGCTATTAATTTATGGGCTAAATCCCCCCCACATCCTAAATGAACTTAGTGTTAATGAATTAAGCCACATATTGGCTTTATCCCTCGAGGAAAAGGTGAAAATTCTAAGTCTACCAGCTTCATTAGAAACTCCGTCATTATTTGAATGTAGCGTAGAGTTCTAAGAAACTCGTTAAATGTAAGTTAGAGTCCTCAGAAGGAGATCCTACAAATTGATTATGGACCATTTGAATTATTGCAGAGTTAAGTACAAAAGTGTTGCTATCTACGGTGGGGGTTTGTATGCTTAAATGAATTTTATCCACAGTAAGGTTTGCATAATGCCTCAAAGGTTTATTAGCATTATGATCAAAGACTGAATCTTCATTAACTTGTTGATCCACCATTTCTACAACAAATTCTTAGACTCTTTTATGTTTTTTAATCATTCTAAAAGTTTTCTCTAGTTCTGAGTTGTATGTTTCAGGGTCTGCAACTACTGAACTTCGTATTCAACTCTAAAGACTTAAATGATAAGATAGATATCATGCACTTCAAGCACTCAAAAATATTTTTATATTTTGGATTTTCTTTTCAATAGACACACAATAACTACACGTTGGATAATAATGCTACAATATCCAAATCTAAGTCTTACAAGTTCAACAAAAATTCTCCAAAATTTTTTATCACCATGGCATCCACGGCAAAGACGCAAGAAAATTGATCTGCCCAAGTGATTATCACGATAATGTAAGTTCTGGTAATAACACTAGAAACTTGATATGTTCCGTAGCAATTTAATTGGGTTCTTAAAGTTAGGTATTATCACTTATCGGGGTTTCTCAAGCAAGTATACATATTGTTTCAGCAGTATAAGGCTCTATCGAGTCTAGATTGTCGATCCTGTAGGGAAGGAGGTAGCAAGTCCCTTAGGATAAGTTCTACTCTAGTACGCTAAGGTCTTTGTTTGGAATGCAAATTACAACGATTTTTCTAGCAATTACTCCTAAAACACAACACTAAGTTTAAAGCTAAATCTAACTATATTAAATGGTTTGGTGAATTTAAATATATGAAGGCTACCTTTCTCTTATGATTGTCTAAGTTGATTGTAGGATAGAATACTAAGACTTGATAATGTGGCTAGTGACAAATAGGAGCATAAGTCTTGTTTACCCTCTTTCGAGTACATAAATAAGTTTGGTTAACCTAGTTTTAATTCCTTAAAACATAGATTGAACCCATCAAATCCTATTTTTCTATCTATTTGCATTTCCTTCGTACTACTTCACCATAACCTATCATACAATATGAATACTCTAGTTGTTCTTTCACTACTCTTTTGAATCTTGATGGATTACAACAAACTTTAACAAATCATTTGGCCATAATGATAAGTAAAAGAAGCACAAAAGGAAAGATCATGACATTAGTATTAAAATTCAATTACATAAGCATTCAACACATCCTACAAATCCCACATATTCATCACAAAAAAAAAATAAGAAAATCTACTCAAGAAACATTAAGATTACGATTGAAATCATCATCATTCAACAAAATAAATACACTAAATATGTGTTTATAACAAGTTCAAGAAAAATGAAAACACGATACTTAGCTTTTCTCCTCTAAAAAGAGTTGAAAAGTTCCTCCAACAATGAATCCAAATCATGTTTGCAATGTTGCAATGCTTCCCTTAAAGATTTCTCTCCAAACCCCTCACCAATCTCTCAATAAAAGGTAAGAATCTACAATCCCTACTCCTATCTACGACCTCTTGGCGTTCCTGGAAAATTTCAAGACTTACAAATGCCAAAAAGTCCCTTTTCCAACCGTCGTCATGGGTCAAATAACTCCCAAAGTCACCTAAGTGTCGCTTTCTTAGATTGTTGGTAGAACTTTGGCGCCTAGGCACCCAGAACCTGGTGTCAAGGCACTATGGAGCAACACCTTGGTGCCCAAAAGGTGGCGTATAGGCTCGAATATTCTAATAGCACCATTTTGCTCCATTTACCTCAAATTTGCTCTGCTTCAGTTCTAATTCATTCTAAATTTCCTACATGTAATACCTGTAAGATATACATAAAAATAGCTTTATTTAAAGTGCAATTTTATTCAAAAAAATGCTAAATATAAAGGAAATTATGCACATTGAAAGACATATCAGAAATCCGACATCGATCTCAAAATATCGTGATTACAAAAAATTTATGGATAGATTGTGGAAATATAGGGAGTTTATATGAATTGGAAGTCTTGCCCTAACCTTGAAATGTCGTGAATGTGGAAAGTTTATGGATAGATTGAGGAAATATAAGGAGTTTATAGGAATCGGAATGAGAGCAGAAAATTTATAGATAGATTGTGAAAATATAGAGAGTTTATAGGGATCAGAAACCTTGCATCGACCCTAAAATATTGTTAGTGCATAAATTTTTTAGATATATTGCATAAATATAGAGATTTTATAAAAATCAGAAGCCTTGCACCGAC